CAGGTTGGTTACCGACCTTGCATCTTTGACGGCTGTTCTGATGAATGAAAAGAAAATACATCAGGTAGTTCAAAGTACACACATTTTTAAAAAATATATATATATTTTATTGATTTTTTACAGAGAGGAAGGGAGAGGGATAGAGACTTAGAAACATCGATGAGAGAGAAACATCAACCAGTTGCCTCCTGCACACCCGCTACTGGAGATGTGCCCGCAACCAAGGTACATGCCCTTGACCGGAATCGAACCTGGGACCTTTCAGTCCGCAGGCTGATGCTCTATCCGCTGAGCCAAACTGGCTAGGGCCAAAGTACACACATTTTTAAAAAAGTGTATGGTGGTCTATGTGAATAAAACTTCTGTCCATTGTCTTTTGCTAAGGTATCTCTTGCAGAAAATTCTTCAACTAAGAACCAGAGTGTTTTTCCTTGATTACTAACTCATATTCTTATTAAAGAAAATGTAGGGTGTATAGGCTTTCATGCTTATACTAGAGAGCAAATGCTAAAATATGAATGCAAAGAATAGATGGATGTGCTAAGCCTGTAACACACATCCTGTGGACTTCTCCATTGTCTGGGGTGACTTTAGTCACTCAGCTATCTATGGGGGTACAATGATTGAATGAGGCAAAACCCTTCTGTAAATGTACATTTAGTGACAGAAAAATAGAGATATGAGGTAATGGAGAAATAGGATAAAAGCATTTAGAATAGCTCAGCTATATGAGTCTGCTATGAAGTCCTCTCTGAGGTTGCATTTAACATCTTGGCTAGGGTTGCCGTCATCTGAAAGCTTTATTGGGGCTGGAGGACTTCCAAGATGGCTCGCTCACATGCCTGTTTGTTCTTTGCTGGCTGCTGGCATGGAGCTTCTCTCTGTCACTTGATACATGAGCATTACCATAAGACTGATTGATTATCTTTGTGTCATGAAATCTGACTTCTCCAAGAGCAAAAGAGAGCTAGGAGGATGCTGTAATGCCTTTTATGGCCTAATATTGGTTATCTTGCACCATCACTTTGCCATATTCTATTTGTTAACAGTGAGTCATCAATTTCAGCCTACATGTAACATGAGGAGAATTTCTCATCTTAGCCATCTTATATCTGACAGTCGGTGCTCTCTTGAAGGTAAAAGTATTGAGAGATTTGTATAGATATTTTAACACTACCAAAAAAAAAATGCAGCCTCTCCCTTTCTATTCTCTAGAATAGGTTATATAAGATTTGTGTTATTTCTTATTTAGTTTGGGGGAAAACCAGCAGTTTTATTTGAATAAAAGATTTTAATAATGTATTAAACATTTTTTAAATGTTGCTAGTATAAGATTTTTTTAGAATTTTGTACTACTTTTTTCATGGGTTCTGCTAGAAGTTTGTGTTTCTAAAAATGTATTTATTTTATTTAAAGTTATCTATTGAGTTATTGTAAAGGCTGATTATAGAGGTTAATTATAAAACCTCTTCTGTAAGAATTTAACTATCAGTCTAACTTTCATTCTTTTTTGTGTTTGTTTCTTTTTAAAAAATTGATTTCAGAGAGGAAGGAAGAGGAAAAGATAGATAGAAATGTCAATGATGAGAGAGAATCATTGATAGGCTGCCTCCTGCACACCCCCTACTGGGGATCAAGCCCGTGACCCGGGCCTGCGCCCTGGACTGGAATGGAACCCCGGACCCTTCGGGTCCCCAGGCCGATGCTCTACCCACTGAACCCACTGGCTAGAGCTTGTGTTTGTTCCTTAACCTTTTATTTTTGTGAGAACATTTAAGTTCTATTCTCTTAGTATATTTCAATTACACAATAGTGTTATTAACTTTAGTCACCATGTTATATATTATATCCTTAGACCTTATCAATCTTATAACTGACCATTTTTACCCATTTCCCATTTTTATTTTTTTCTTTGTCCTGGTTATTTAACTTACCATAATGCCCTTGATTTCATTCCTGTTGTTACAAATGACAGGATTTTCTTTCTTAAAGCTGAATAATATTCTATAATCTATATACGGTGTGTCCCAAAAAATGAATATGCACTTTGAATGATTATAAAGTCAGTGTTTATTAACATATAGTTCATTTTCAAAATTTAAAAGAACCTACAGAAATGAATAGTATTTTTGGCAATGCCTGTTTTCAAACTGATGACGGTTCTGGTCCAGGTGCTGCTGATACACTAAGCAATGGAATCACAAACATCAAGAATCATTTCCTGCCGAAACCGGTTTGGCTCAGTGGATAGAGCGTCGGCCTGCGGACTGAGAGGTCCCGGGTTCGATTCTGGTCAAGGGCATGTACCTGGGTTGCGGGCACATCCCCAGTAGGAGATGTGCAGGAGGCAGCTGATCGGTGTTTCTAACTCTCTATCTCTCTCCCTTCCTCTCTGTCAAAAATCAATAAAATATATTAAAAAAAAAAAAAAGAATCATTTCCTTTGGTATTGGTGTACCCTCAATTTGTCAACTATTGCTGGTTTTGTACCATAAACTTTATCGTTTATGTATCTTCATTAAAAAAAAATGTCTATGGCACTTTAGTATAAATTTTCTTTGTTCAAAACTTAGTCTGGCTTCACCCATTAGTTAAATCATTTAAACCTGAAAGGAATGACAATTAAATGAGCTATTAGCTGTTAAAATGTGTATACATTTTTTGCAGACACCCTATGTAGACCATATTTCCTTTATTTTTTTTATTTGTTGATAGACGACTAGGTTGTTCCCATACCTTGGCTATTGGGAATGATACTGCTATAAACATGGAAGTAGAGATATTTCTTTCAGACAATGTTGTTGTTTCCTGTGGATATATACCAAGGAGTGGGATTACTGGATTATAAGGCAGTTCTATTTTGTTGTTGTTGATGATGATGTAGGAATTCCTGACCAAATTTGGCACATACTTACTTTTCATGCACATCAGATTTTCCTTCCTTTTGGCTAAATTCAGTGGCTATTAGACACCAAATCAGCCAAGTTGATTAGGGGCAGCATGAAGTGTAAAGAGCATTGGTCCAGGAGTCAGGGCCCCCTGTATTTTAGTCTCAACTCTGGACTCCAACAAGCTCTGTGACCTAGAGGAGCCAGTCAGTTAACATGACGATGAGGACTTCCTCACAAACATTCTGGGGTACCTATTATTATTTTCACTTTTAAAGTACTGTTACTATTTTTATCACCAAAATCACTGACATATCACAGAATAAAAGGAGACATAAATCAAACCTCATTTTTACTGAAGAGACCATCGAGGATAAAGTTCAGAAAGGATCTATATTATTTCTTGAGAAACTTCCATACTGTTTTCCATAGTGGCCTTTCCAGTTTATATTCCCAACAAAAGTATACATATGTTCCCTTTTCTCCACTACCTTGCCAACATTTATCTACTATCTTTTTTATAATACCAACATACAGATGACATCTCATTATGGTATTGATTTACATTTCTCTGATGACCACCAATGTTAAAGACCTTGTCATGTACCTGGTGGCCCTTGTATGCTTTCTTTGAACTTTGTTTATTTAGGCTCTAAGCCCATATTTTAATTGAGTTATTTTTCGCTATGAAGGTGTATGCATTCCTAAATATTTTGGATATTAAGTTTTAATCAAATATATGGTTTACCAACATCTTCTCTCATTCTGTAAGTTGCCTTTTCATTTTTTTTTTCTTTTGCTGTGTACAAGGGGCTGTCTGCTTTTTAGTTGCTGAGGTGTAACAGTTTATTATATACTTTGGGTACTAGTCTTATATCAGATATAATTTTTAAAAATCGCCCTCCTCTGTCAGTTGTATTTACAACCTCTTGGCAGTGTCCTTTTATGCACCAAATATTTTACTTTTGATGAAGATCAATTTATTTATTTTTCTTTGTTGCTTGTATTTTGGGGTCATGTCTAAGAAACCATGGTGAAATGCAAGGCCAAAAGATTTACACCTATGTTTTCTCCCCAGTCTTACTGTATTAATTCCTACATTTAAGTTTATAATTCATTTTGAGTTAATTTTTATATATGGCATGAGGTCCAGGTTCATTGTATTGCATATGGATATACAATTGCTCCAGCATAAAGTCTTGAAATAACTACTTCTTGGCATCCTTGTTGAAAAATCAGTTGACCATAGATGTTTAGGTTTATTTCTGCATTGCCAGCTCTATTCCATAGATTTATATTTTTATCCTTCCAGTCCCACTTTGCTTTGATTACTGAAGATTTGTAGTACATTTGAAAATTGAGAGGTATGAGGCCTTCAGTTTTGTTCTTCTTTGTCAAGATTGTTTTGGCTTTTTGAGGCCCCTTGTAACTCCTTATGAATATGAGGATTAGCTCTTTCAATTCTGAAAAATGCAGTTGGATTTTGATAGGCATTACATTGTATCTGGAAATCAATTTTGGAGTACTGTCATTCCACCAATAATATTTATTACCAATTCTTACTATCTTACCAATTAATTCTTTCAATCTATGTACATATCATATCTTTTTTTAGGTTTATATCATTCTTTGAGTACTTTTTTAAAATATATTTTATTGATTTTTCACAGAGAGGAAGGGAGAGGGATAGAGAGTTAGAAACATCGATGAGAGAGAAACGTCGATCAGCTGCCTCCTGCACATCCCCCACTGGGGATGTGCCTGCAACCAAGGTACATGCCCCAACCGGAATCAAACCTGGGACCCTTCAGTCCGCAGGCCGGATGCTCTATCCACTGAGCCAAACCGGTTAGGGCTTTTTGAGTACTTTTTAAATGATTAAAGCAAGATAGGCTCAGTTCATATTTTTCCCTAGCATAGTCTTAGAGAATATTTATACAAAGATTTCTGGTACAATTTTAGTAGGTAATGATGTTTGGAAGCTAAGATTGTTAAAAAATATGCAACAACATTGAAATATATAATTTATATTTTTCTTATATTGCAATTTTTGGTCTTTGTTTTAGCAAATCAAATATGGGTTGCTAATTCACTTTCTTTTCCATTTTTTAGTTCCTCCGGTGATCCGGGTATACCCAGAGAGTCAGGCCAGAGAGCCAGGGGTAACTGCAAGTCTGCGATGCCATGCAGAGGGCATACCCAGCCCCCAGCTGGGCTGGCTGAAGAACGGAATTGATATTACACCAAAGCTGTCCAAACAACTCACACTGCAAGGTGGTTTTTACCTGCATTTTTTTCCTCTTAATGACCATGTAGAAATTTTATACTAAAATTTATGTCACATTTTATATCATTTAGTAAAAAAAGAAAATGAATCTTGGTTTCAACAAAATGTCATGAACATTAAGAAAATGGTTTGTACCTAAGACATTATATTTGAAATAGAGTCTTTTAATATTTTTAATGTTCTAAATAATAGTCTTGTCATAATGATTAATTATGTCATTATTTTGGTGATAAGTAAAATATTAAATTATATATATTTAAATACTTGTCCTCTGAGTTATAACAGATATACTGAACAGAATAATCAGATCTCTTCATAGAAACCAATTCTGAAGTGACTATTTAAATGTTTAAATTATACATTAAATATGTCTGTGACAGAGGGTGTTGATATTATAGACAGTCTTTAGTGAGTGTTTTGCAGTATACTTTGCAAATGAAGGGAGAAAAAAATCAAAATGTTACTGAATGTTTCACATTTACATTGTTTTCTGTTATGAAATTATATTCTAATATATAAAATATTCTGTGTTCTAATATTATATATATATGTATAAAATTAATCAATTATTATACAGATTATAGCCACAAACATATGGTAAGTGAAAAACAAAAACAGACAATATTTGCAATGTCAAATAATCAAAATAATGATAAAACAGTTGAATATATGTTGGTTATATTAGTAAGTAAGAAAATGTACAGATCTAATTTTCATTGTCAAGAGTAGCAACACCAGTCATTTTACTTGATTATCTGTTGCATGACATTCTATTCTTTATTTCATACCTTTAAATTCCTTCAATTCATCTTTTTCAAAATAAATAAATTTTCTTTTTAAAAAAATATAAGCATAAACTTATTCTACTTTAACAGTGATTATGTTTTATCAGTATTTTAAAGTAAATCTTTTGAAACATGTACTTACCTATTTTTGCAAGTCAAAATGACATGTAAAAGTGGTTTTGACCTTTAAAACCTGAATTCTAAAAATATTTGTTGATACAAATAAGCCCAATAAATTTACATGTTTATATCTACTGATTACATTTTGCTATAATCTGATTAACAGAAATTAAAGTGAAGAAAGTTTCAATTAGCTTCTGATTTTGTCATTTATTATTCATTTAATAGCAGTAAACCATAAGAACATATATCTTCATTTCCAGGAATATATAGAAAGCAAATTTAGGGAGTTGGTTACATTTCAGACTCAACATTGAAAATAGTTATTGTCATTTTAAAAACAAGGCAAAATAGGTAAAGTTTTGAGAATATATGGCAAATCATAAAAGGTGAATAAGGAGCACGACCTAAGTGATATATCTGGATGTATAGGAATTTCATGTGGCTTTATATAAAACTAGAGGCCTGGTGCACAGATTCATGCACTGGTGGGGTCCCTAGGCCTGGCCTGTGCCCTCTCACAATCTGGGACCCCACTAGTGCATGATCAGCTTGGGGAGGGCTCCAGGGCGTGTCTGGCCTGTCTCACCCAGTCCCTATTGGGGCTGATCAAGGCCAGGAGGCCAGGGAGGTACCACATGAGGGCTCCAGGGCATGTTCGGCCCATCTCGCCCAGTCCCAGTTGGCCAGACCTCAGCAGCAACCTAACCTACCAGTCAGAGCATCTTCCCCCGGTGGTCAGTGCACATCATAGCTACTGGTCAATAGGTTGACCAGTCTAACAGTTGACCAGTCACTTAGGCTTTAATACATAGAGATTATATATTACTGAATACTATAATTATTTAATTATTCATTTATTCAATAAATGATTATTTAGCATTTCTATGTGAGGTCTAAGTCTAGGTACTAACTGAATAACTGGCAATGGATGGGATAATATGTTAGTGACAGGAAGTAAAATCCTGGGAATACAGACATATTTTATTGGCAGGCAAATGAAGATAGATAACGCAAGACTAAAAATCAGTGAAGATGCAGAAAAACAAGGTGATACTACATTTTTAAAAAAAGGAAAGGTAAAGATCTCAAAGAATTTAATATCAGAGTCATAGAAAGGTCATTAAAATGTGTTCATGGGTCAAGTGATTCATATGTCCTTGTGACATTAAGAAAACATTATTAGTAGCAATCAGTCTTCAGTAGATTTAAAAATGAAAAGGAGGTAAAAAGCATTAAAATCTCTTTCCAGGGTTTGAAAGGAGGAAAAAAGAAAAGGTAGCATATGCTATTGGAAAAGGTTAGGACTAATGAAGATATTTCTTTCTCTTTGGACAATTTATCCCTTTGAAGGACTATCAATAAAGAAAAGATGTGTAGATAATGGAGAAGGGAAAGGATGTACAGAGTTGTAGAAATGAACAGGAAAAGAGGAGAGATTGGCCTTGGAAATAAAGAGAATATTTGTTTATAAGTAAACTAGAGGCCTGACACATGAAATTCGTGAAAGAATACGCCTTCACAGCTGCCGCAGCTGCCTGGATCCCTCCCTCGCAACCGAGGCAGCTGCCTTAATCCCACAGCTGCAACCCCGGTTTCATCCGGAAGGTCGTCCAGAAGGACATCCAGTCTAATTAGCATATTACACTTGTATTATTATAGATAAAGGTGAATATGTAGATGGAAACAATGTTTTGGGCTTCCTTTATTTTTTCAGATTTTTATTGAAATATAATTGACGTATAACATTATGTAAGTTCAAGGTAAATAACATGATGATTTTATATATGTTGCAAAATGATTTGGGTTTACTTTCTTATCACTTCCATGTACTTCATGATTTAAAAAGCAAGGTCACTCACTTAGAGTGAGAAGTTAGTATTATAATGGGAAACATCAAACTAAGAGTAGATTTTAAATAAAAGTGGAGTAGGACATGAAAGACATTGAACAGTAAAGGTCAAGTGAAATGAATACCAGCATTGAACATCCTGCAAATTGAAAACTGTGAATATGCACATTTGTAAGTTTGCTAATGTAATAGTCTCATAATTTACTAAAAAAAACCTAGGTGCAGGGACACCAGGGACAGAGATATGTCAGCTTGCCCTAGTTCTGGAGGTTAGTAAGGCATATGGATCAGGTTGATAAATGGATAAGGGAATTGGTAGTTCTGGCAATAGAATAGAATACATCTAAAAATGCTAGATTTTGTAAGAAAAGGCAGTGAGGCATATGGGTTAGGAGGACATATTAGAATATTGAGAAGAGAGAATTTGAAGACAGAATATATTGACTTGATGTTTGAGAAACTAAAGAATTTAGCTTAAGTTGTGGGTCTTGAAAGAAAAGTATGTTGTGTGGAGACATAAAGCAAGAAGCTGGTGCAGGATTAAATACAGCTCTCGCTCCCTATCTTTTGAGCTAAGGCCTGCACACTAACACCCCCAAGCTAAGTCTGGAAAGCTGATTATTTTTGGACATAAAACAATTTTTGATTGTTTTTCGTTTTCAGAACACAGCCACACTTATTTTAAAGAATATTATCTATGGCTGCTTTCATGCTACTATAGCAGAAGTGAATAGATGCTACAGAGACTGTATGGCTCACAAAGCCTAAAATATTTACTATCTGGCCTTTTATAGCAAAAACAAATACAAAACCAAAATGTTTTGGACAATGGATTCTCAACAAAGAATGGGGGGATGGAGGTGTGCAGTGATGTTTATAAATTGAGAAAGAGGTTCAGGTGATTGGAATGATCATCTCTCCTCAAACACTCACTTCCTCTCCATGTCCCAATGGCATCCCTAAGGATGGTATTCAAGATCTTTAATCAATGGTGTTCTATCTTCTTTCCTGAAACAGCCACACAGATTATTTTGTCCTCTGGCACAAATAGTCAATTCCTCATGGTGCACGGTGTCACTGAGATTGGATAACATGGAACACCCACACACAACCACACATGCAGAGACACATACAGCAAGAAAAAAAAAAGAAAAAAAAGAAAGGGAATCTAAACAGATGAACACAACAAACACTGAACTTTAGAGTCTGATAGAGCAGAAGTCCAGCCTTTCCCTTTGAGTTGCGTGACTTGCATAAGATCATTGTGAATCTCAGATTCTTCATCTAAAAATTAAATGTTATTTGAGATAATTGAGAAATAATATATGTAAAAGGACCTCATATATTACCAACATACATTAAATCTTAATTATATCTAGATTACAACTCATTATTCAAGGATTAGCTTAAAATATTATTTTACAAGATTTAAAAGTTGGGCCAATGATTTCCTTAACCTTTTGGTTACACATTGACTTGATCAATTTCCATATTATGATATTGTTAAGTTTAGGTATAATTATGCCAAAAGACTGAAGATCTTGCAGACAAACCATGTATTATTATTTTTCTGTTCTTCTTACCTAATACTTCCAGATACTTAATATGGACTTAATAAGAAACTTGACAAGTGGCAGTCATATTATATATTCATGATATAGTTAAGTTAACTTCTTTATGAAATGTTTTTTATAGGTAACCTTCTATATTTTATAGCCTTCCATATTTATAGCCTTCTATAAATGAACATACTGGTATTATTTAAAACTTTTGTGAAAGCTTAAGGCAAAGTAGGTTCTGAATATTAAAAATAAATATATAAATGAAATTATAGTTATAAATGTGAAATACTTCTTGTGCAATGTAGGAAACAGGAAATGAATATAAAATATAAAGTGTGTGCATTTGATATCAAATATTGGCCTCTCTGTAATAGAATGACAGCACAGTTTATGAAACACTTGAATGCTTTTGGAATAATTTGGCGTGCCTCCAAAGCATGGAGTAAGAAGGAAAATAGTTTAATTAGGGCAAGCTAAGAGAATTGTTTTACTGTGTAATCAGGAAGCACTGTACCAAAACTGAAATTGTAGTTTACAAGTTGCATTTGCCTTCTGTTTTCAGCAAATGGCAGTGAGGTTCACATAAGCAATGTGCGCTATGAAGATACCGGAGCATACACTTGTATTGCAAAGAATGAAGCAGGAGTGGATGAGGACATCTCTTCTCTTTTTGTAGAAGATTCTGCTAGAAAGACCTGTATGTACTGAGTGTGCGTGCACAAGCACACACACACACACACACACACACACACTGTATTCAACTTTACTATCAAGTTTTTTTCAAAAAACAAAAGAACCAGGCCTGACCGGTGTGGCTCAGTGGTTGATCATCAAAGTATGAACCAAGAGGTCATGGTTCAATTCCCAGTCAGGGGGGTTCTGGGCTCGATCCCCAGTGTGGGGCTTGTAGGAGGCAGACAATCGATGATTTTTCTCTCATTATTGATGTTTCTATCTCCCTCTCCCTCTCCCTTCCTCTCTGAAACCAGTAAAAATATTTTAAAAAGAATCAAAAGACTCTGTGAAATGAATAATGCATTAAAATTTTTATATATAGGAAAGATATTAATCTTGAAATATTAAAAATAAATTTAAGGATTAAAAACAAACTTGTGCAATTTTTAACACAACACTGAAATGATTCTGTTTCTTTTGCAAGTGTACATAAAAATGTTTCAGGTTCTGTCTTCCCATTTGCTCATAAAGGAATTTAAATCCCTTGCGAAAATCCCTCTCCCAAATGACTTGGGGAATTCAAGGTCTCAATATATAGCAAGGTCCATCCTATAAGTTTAACAAATTAATATCTTTATTCTCCTATCAGTTGCATTGCAGTCAGTGGTGCAATAACTGTACAGCAATGCAGGCACTGAGGTCACTGCCACCATGAGACACCCACTGCCCTGACACCATCACCACTCTAAGGACTGTTCTATCTATAATAATAAAAGCATAATATGCTAATTAGACCAAACACCCTTCTGAATGTCCTTCCAGACGACCTTCTAGATGAAGCTGGGGTTGCAAAGGAAGCCCAGGTCCCAGGTGCCAGAGGGAAGCCGGTGCTGGCAGCATGGGGAAGGAAGGCCTACTCTTGCATGAATTTCGTGCATCGGGCCTTTAGTATGTATATATTTTTTATTGATTTTAGAGAAGAAGAGAGAGTGAGAGAGAGATAGAATCACCAGTGAGAGAGAATCATTGATTGGCTGCCTCATGCACACCCCACACCAGGATGAAGCCTGTATCTCGGGCATGTGCCCTGACTGGGAATCTAACTGTGACCTCCTGGTTCATAGGTCGATGTTCAACCACTGAGCCATGTCAGCCAGGCCTGTTCTATGTTAAATGCTAAAAATCCTTTGTCATCATTCTACATGTCTTCTGGTGGGATCATGAAATATGCTTTATTTAAATTACTGCTTGGTGAGAGGAATATGGATGGATTTAGGATGCTACAGATGGATTTTTGGTTACAATTGAATTGCTCAGGACTCAAAGTAGAATTTATCAAGTGAGCTCTTTATAGGCAAACCCACAGACACTTTCTTCTCCTGGTCCACACACATCACAGTATGGCTGTTTAGAAACTGGGTTTGGAAATATAGTGGACTCTTGAACAACAAAAGGATGCTCACGTCTGCATATTTGAAATTCTGCATATAACTTTTGAATTCTCCCAAACTTGATTACTAACATCAATAGTCAACTTACACAATTTATGTATATGTAATATACTATATTATTACAATTAAGTGAGCTAGAGAAAAGGGAATGTTATTAAGGAAGTCATAAAGAAGCAACAAATACATTTATAGTATGTATTGAAAAAAATCCACCTATAAGTTGACCCCACAGTTCAACCTGTGTTATTCAAGAGTCAACTGTAACTTCTTGTTCTTTTTTTTTTTTTTTTTTTTTTTATCCACTAACACCTCCTATTAATCAAAGATTTTTCAGGGCCCTGATATTTTTAAAGTCCTCTAGATTGATATGTCCATTTCTCCGAACCCAGTTTTTGAACAAAGCTAAAGCATTCTCCCAGGAATCTTCTTATTTGTTTTTAAATCAATGAGCACATTTAGATATGAGTGGGCCCAATGAGAAAGGAGGATCTTATCTTTTTGACTACCAAGTTACTTTTTTCTGTATTTGGTCTGGTTAGGACAACCATCATTCCAAACAAACATTTACAAAGAAAATTATAATGGTGGATAAAGAGAAAAGAAAGCTGGATATAATGACTTGACTAAATTTCACCATATTTTTTTACTGTACTCTTATGTATTTCTACTAAATACCACTTTGCAATATATTTCCTTTTAAAAATTAATTTTAGGGTGACAAGTAAATGAAGACTTTAGTTTTCTTTGTCCTTTATGATGACATTTGTGACACAGATATTTATTTCAACTCTGTATTATGTGATTCTTTTAATGTCTGTCATGTAATTTTCAATATATTTCCTTATTTACAACAGTACAAGACCTGTAATTAGTATCTTAATTTAGTCAACCATTATATACTAGCATGTAAATTTGAGGAAAATTGCAAAGGAAGCCGAAGCCGGTTTGGCTCAGTGGATAGAGCGTCGGCCTGTGGACTGAAGGGTCCTGGGTTCGATTCCGGTCGGGGGCATGTGCCTTGGTTGCGGGCACATCCCTAGGAGGGGGTGTGCAGGAGGCAGCTGATCGATGTTTCTCTCTCATCGATGTTTCTAACTCTCTATCTCTCTCCCATCTCTCTCCCTTCCTCTCTGTAAAAAAAAAAAAAAAAAAAAAAAAAAAAAAAAAAAAATTGCAAAGGAAAATTTAATGTAATTTTATTCATATATTTAATCATATGAATGTGTTTAATTACAAAGAGTTTCTGAAATTATGTTTTCACTTTATTTTACTTATCATTTTAAACCCTTAGAGGTCAAAATAACAATTTTTAAATTAGTTTTTGAAATGATATGTTTATAGCATGCTGTTAAAATCAGACTGAATGTTTTTATAAGATATAGTGGTGCAGGCCTTACTTCATCTACACAGAACTTTCAAAGTCATAGAAACAATATAAGTAAAATATTTGGAGGTATTTTTTTTCTAAGTCTAGTCATAAAATGTTTATAGGTGTTACTTCTGTTTTTAAAATATGTGACGTTTTTCAAGGATAAAGAGTTAAACCTATTGAATTTTGGTTTTTAAATTAATTAAATTGATTTGCATTGGTAAAATAAACAACATAAGTTCTACCCTTTAATAACTTTTAACCATATTGTTAACTATATGCATTAAGTTACACAGCAGATCTCAAAAACATATTCTTCATGTATAACTATAACTCTATATTCATTGAACAACTCTCCATTTCTTTCTTCTCCCCAGTCCCTGACAACCACCATCCTATTTTATGTTTCTGTGATTTTGACTCTTTTAAATACCTCATATAAGTTCAATTATACAGTATTTGTCCTTCTGTGACAGGCTTGTTTCAATTAGCGTGATGCCTGCCAGGCCCCTTCATGTTGTCACAAATGGTAGGCTTTCCTACTTTCTCAAGCAGAAGCACATTCCATTGTATGTATGCACATTTTCAACATTTACTTTATCCATTTGATTTTCAATAGATATCTGAGTTGTGATATCTTTTAGCTGTTGTGAATGTTACTGCAAGGAACATGTGAATTTAGGTATCTCGTTGATCCTTAATTCAATATTTTTGGATATATACCTAAAAGTAGGATTGCTGGAGCACATGACAGTTTTAGTTTTAATTTTTGAGGACACTTCATAATGTTGTGTATAGTGGTTTGCACCATTTAACATTCCTACCAACAGAGTGCAAAGGTTCCAATTTCTCTACAACCAAGCCGTGACTTTTATCTTCTATTATTTTCATAATAACTATCCTATATTATACACAAAAAATAAAATAATGCCCAAATCTATAAAACTCCTATTAAAAAGCATATGGAAAAATCTTCATGACATAGGTCTTGACAATGAAATTAACAGATTTTATTTGTCACTCAGAAGTCTCAAACATTACAAATGTTTTTTTCATATTCTAACTTTTTATAGGCATGCAAATACAGTTTCTTCCAAATAGCAAATTTACTTCTCATTTTTAAAAAGGCCTTTAGTTTTTAACTTTTTATCCACAAATTTGCTACCAGTACACTGGTTAATAAAAATATATATATTTGGTTATTGATATGAAAGTGTCCATTTTTAGAAATTGATGCACATAATTAGAACAAGGATAATAATAAGTACTCCGAGTGAGTAGAATAGTAGTAGCTACACAGGAAAATTAACTGAAAATGTTAGAATGTCTATGTAGTAGAAGGCAGTCTCTCTTGAATAGTTTACTAGTACTTAGTAAGCTGTCAGAGTTCTATATAGCAAAAACAAAACCCAATCAGGTAGAGATATTATTAGGGAAAATGGTGGACTATTATAACTCACATTTTAAGGATTTCTCTGGGTTCTCCTCTAGGAATTTTGTGGACAAAGATCAATATTAATTATACAGGGCACACATGTATTTTGACAGACATTATTTAAAAAGCCAAAGAAAACAGTCACAGACTCATCATTGATGACTTTACTCTCCTTATTTGTACATATTAAAATTTTATTCACTTGTCCATGTTCATGAAAAATAATCTCAGAGTTCTTTTTCCATTTTAATAGTGGTGGGATAGTATTTCTAAAAGAGAAGAATGGTTTATTAGAATAGCATGAACTTTAGCCCTAGCCGGTTTGGCTCAGTGGATAGAGCGTCGGCCTGCGGACTCAAGGGTCCTGGGTTCGATTCCGGTCAAGGGCATGTGCCTGGGTTGCAGGCACATCCCCAGTGGGGAGTGTGCAGGAGGCAGCTGGTTGATGTTTTTCTCTCATCGATGTTTCTAACTCTCTATCCCTCTCCCTTCCTCTCTGTAAAAAATCAATAACATATATTAAAAAAAAAAAAAAAGAATAGCATGAACTTTGGAGTAGGATCTGAGTTAGAATTATAGATCTACCATGTAATAGTCCTGTGGTTTGGGGCTATTCTATGACCTCTCTGAGCTCAAATTTCCTTATCTGTAATGTGTGATAAAACTCACTAAGGCATGTCAGTGCAGACATTATAAAGGACTCACCATAGTGCAAGACATAAAGTAGCTCTTCCTCTATTCATGCTTATTTTCTGAAAATAATTACT